AATCATACGCAGAAAAAAAAAACCAAAAACAAACAAAACAAAACAAAAAAGCAACACATAAAACCATTAGCTGAAACGGTACCTGGTATGCTCTGCCTTTATGGTTTGATAATTTGTCTTGTGAAGTTCGCATCTCATTCTTTCATCAATCAAAAGTTTTTGCAGCTCAGTGTCTGAGGTAGGAAACCCAGAGGTTCCGCTGACTTGCGAAAGCATTGCTGGATAGCCTTCCATCTTTTTAGTAATGGTGGAGTACAATGATACGCAGAATTCAGAAGACCAGACGTGTAACCGTTGATGGCTTACTCATTCCTCCCACCCCCTCTCATATAAGCCCTGTGGGACTTAATTTAGCATCTCTAAAAAGGAGAGGAAAAAAAAAACAATACATAGGTACACAAATTACATACATAGAATATAGTGCAAATGAAAATGTCAGAAAAATGTAACATTTATATAAATATGATGCTAAAATACAGTATCGCAGTATGCAAAGATACTTTTTTTTTTTTTTTAAATTCTACTAACAATACTTAAATATCCAATAAAAAAAATGGTATCGTTGCATAGTGCAATGACATCTATTTTTACATCTGGTCTACTGGGCATACAATTCTCCTTGGTGGGCCCTCTTTTATTTACAGGCCCACTCGGACGTTGGTTTCGGCACACCACAACCAACTTTCATCCCATCTCACTATCCATTACATATTAAATTCCGAGCACAAATATATATCACACAAAATGTCAAGGTATACAAATGATATAGTATAGTATGCATATTGCATCCCTACTATGTGTTTTATTGCCAACTAAAAGTCAACATTTTGACCAACAATGGATATTCATGACGCCTTGAAAAAAAAAATTAAAGGAACACTATGAGGTCATGAACACAAACATGTATTCCTGACCTTATAGTGGTAACAACCACCATCTAGCCCTTCTCCCCCCACCCAAGTTAATATAGTAAAATCTTACCTTTATTGTAGTTTGCTGCTGCTGGCTCTGCCCCTGATCTGCCTGCTTGGCTGAAATCATAAGAAATTGTGATCTTAGCCAATCACAATGCTTTCCATAGGAAAGCATTGGATTGGCGGAGACTGTCAAGGAGGCAGACCAGAGGCAGAGCCAGCACAAGCCAAACACAGTCCTGGCCAATCAGCATCTCCTCATAGAGATGCATTGAATCAATGCATCTCTATGAGGAAAGTTAAGTGTCTCCACCATTCAGTGTCTCCACCTCTACTAGCCATCTGATCTGAGGAGTGGCCAGTGGAGGAATCACTAGGCTGTAATGTAAACACTGCATTTTCTTTGAAAAAAAAAAACAACAACAACAAAAACTGTGTTTACTGCAAAAATCCTAAAGGGAATGATTATAGTCCCCAGAATAAATACAATAAGCTGTAATAGTTCTGGTGACTATAGTGCAGGGCTTGACAAATGTGCCTGGAATCTAGGAGCAAGGTTTTTCAATGACAAAAATACTATTCTTAAAAGGGACACTATAGTCACCAGAACCACCACAGCTTAATGTAGTTGTTTTGAAGTCTATAGCCAGTCCCTACATGCTTTTCAATGTAAATCCTATAGAATATAAGCTCGACTGAGCAGGGTCCTCTTCAACCTATTGTTCCCATAAGTATATTTGTAATTGTCCTATTTATAGTTAAATCCCTCTCTCATAATATTGTAAAGCGCTATGGAATCTGTTGGCACTATATAAATGGCAATAATAATAATAAACACTGCCTTTTCAGACAAAAGGCAGTGTTTACATTGCAGCCTAGTAAAACCTCTAGTGGCAGTCAATAAGACAGTCTCTAGAGGTGCATTCTGGGTCAGTGCTGCTCTGCATGAAAACGCGTAATGCTCACCATATGAGTGCATTGATTAAATCATGTTATTCTGCGCATGCACAATAGTCTCCAAATGCTTTCCTATGGGAAAGCATTGGATTGGCTGAGAACATCAAGAGATGATGATCTTAGCCATGGCGAAACCGACACAGCGTTGGAAAAAAGGTCAGTAAAAGCATTATTCCTATGACGCACTCACTGACAGACAAACACACAGTTACAGACAGAACACACACACATACACACAAAAGGCAGGCAGATCCAACACTCGCTGACAGGCAGACACACACATTATTAGTTATATTTAAATTTGCCTGCCCAGCCTCCCTACCCTTCCCTGGGGTCCAGTGGGGCTGTTCATTTTCCTGACGTCAGATTCCGGTCTTAGGCATCACTGGACGTGCAAGGGAGCAGGAAAATCACAGCTCCCTCGCTGCCTCCGTAATCAGTCAGCCACCTGCTTGCCTCAGGTAATCTTGCGCCATGGGCCGCCTGCCTGTCGGCCGCCCGTCTGCGCTCACTATGAGCTGCCTGCCACTTGGGGTCTGAAATGGCTCACTTATCCTAGGCGCCAAGACAAATTTCCTAGTCGCCATTGCTATAGTGTCTCTTTAAGTGTCTGTTACAATGTTGCTAGTTAATCACCAGTAAAAACGATTGAACCATTTGGAGTGATGAACTTGTTTCTTTAAATTATTCTTGTTTTATGAAAAGAAGCACTGGACTAGGAAGCGCTTCTGAACGACTGCCACTAGAGGTATTACTAGCCAGCAATGTAAACACTGCCTCTTCTCTGAAAAGGTAGTGTTTACAGTGCTAAAGTTGCAGGGACCTGCTATATAGCCACCAGAACCAATACAGCTTGATAACTATAGTGCCCCTTTAATTGATAAAACTGCCACGTTCTATTGAAATCTGCACTTTTTGTAAAATGGAAAATAAATAAAACACCTAATAAATGCATATCGTTGTGTGTAATTAAATAAAGAATACAAAGTAGTTAACACATGTTTTTAAAAGACGTAAAAACGGCACTCCAAAAGACTAGAAAGCATTATTTTTGTATACCACTACCAAAAGGTTTCTTACACCTAGATTACTGAATTACCCAGTTATAAAAAATGTAAACAAAAAATGCAAGACTGACATAATAGGTACATCTGAGGGCAACACAATGTTCAGACTGGTTCTCAGTTGTACTAGCTTTAATTTAAAAATAAATAAAATAAATAAATCAATCAATCACATACACACAGTAAAAGGCTACCAAAACTATTTTTTTTTTTTAATTCTCATCTAACAAAGGCTTCTGCAGGGAAAATTCCTACTGTAGGAGCTGATAGGACATTTTCTGGTTTAACAAAGTTTAGAATTAACACATTACTGATCAAGTTCAATGGCTGCATTTCCAGCGATTAACTGAGCGACAGCAGCGTTCTATCTCCATAGCAACCAAGACAACTGCCTAAACAGGGACAGCAGCAATAACCAACACACTGTGCAAATATATACAACCAACGCTGATCCTTTAACAGCAAAAAGCATACACAGTTTGCACTGCAGTAGTTTTAATTGAGGATATGCAAGATATTTATAATAAAATAAGAAAGAAGATATTTTCTTCCTGCATAGATATGCAACTTCTCAAATGATCCTGTGCCTTTCTACTGCATCTCCCAGATAGACAATATCCAAAAACAACACACATGGCACATAAATATATAGCAATATACAAGTTAAAAAAAAAAAAAAACAGTAACTTGTAAGCCAGCAGGAGGAATAAATGGAATAGTTTAACACTCCTACCTTCCTCAGCTAATCAATAAAAAGAGAATAATAAATATTATTTTAACAAATCAGTTCTGTCTCCGTCACTGGGCATTATATAAAGTAGTAATTGGGTCAGGAGAGGGCTGCAGGGTCATACAGTAATACAATAAAAGGCAGAGTACCTCCATGTACCTTCAGATCAGGGGGAGACAGAAAAGGAAAACCTCCAGCTATTGCTGGACTACAACTCCCAAGTTGCACTGACACCCTTAAGGCTGGCAAAGCAGAGATGTGACTTGTAGTTCTACAACAGCTGGGGGGGGGGGACAGAGGGGGGCTTTTTAACCTTCTAAACTATGGTATTGGCATTGAAAGTCATTATGCCAACACATGCATTACCAAATGCCCTCATCTGGGGGCAAGCTGCGCCTGAGCTACTCACGTGCCAGGTTCCGGGAGATCACAATGAACCAGGCTAGGTGAGGGTAGAGATGCCCAGTGTCTCGCAGACCCTCTTCTTGGGGGATTGTCAGGGATTTTTAAAAATGGCGCCTCTGCTCCTCCCACGTACTGAGGTTCGACCATAACCACGCCCCCCGCTAGGTATCACCTCTTCGCCGCGCATGCGCAGTGCTAGCGATCCGGGCTGGGATAGACAGAGCTCAGAAGGGCGGGAAGACAGGCGGGCATGGTTGCTGACAGATAACGGATCTCATGGAATGCGGGGGTCTGGTTAGAATGTTTAAAAACAGGGTGGAACGCTGAGAGAGGAAAATGAAAGGGAATACAGTAACAATATATTGAGGAAGTTATTTAAATATAGACCGAAATATAACTAAATAGGAGCATCTGTCTAAGATGGGAAAAAACTCCAACCTATCAAATTGTTACAAAAGTAATGGACTATTAGCAGAATTGGGCAGGAACTAAAAATATTACCATTATTATTTATATAGCGCCAACAAATTCCACAGCGCTGTACAATGGGTGTACTAACATGCAATTGTACAGCGCTACGGAATTTGATGGCGCTATGTAAATAAATAATAATTATAACCAGATGAGTTGGAGCACAGGAACAGAGGGAGTTAAGGGCCCTGCTCAATGAACTTTCATGCTGAAGGGAGTGGGGTATAGTGACAAAAAGTAAGAGCAGGGTAGAAAAGTAGTTGGTAGACTGGTATTCACTAAAGACTGTTGCAGGAGAGGAATCAGGGAGTGTGGGAGGGAGCTATTAACAGTACAGTACTCCTTCCTGAAGAAGTGAGTTTTAAGTGATTTTTTTTATGAAGGAGTGGAGACTGGGTGAAAGTCTAACAGAGAAGGGAAGGGAGTTCCACAGGAATGGTGCAGCCCTAGAGAAGTATGGAAGGCGAGCATCAGAAATGGGAGTATGAACAGAGGATAGACATAGTTTTTCAGCAAAGTGTAAGGGCCTAAACGGGACATACTTGTGTATTAGGGAAAATAGATAGGTTGGAGCAATGTATGGACTGCCAGAGGGAGGAGGTAGGAGCAAACAGGAAGATGAGCCTCGCCGCCATGTTCATTATAGACTGGGCAAGTTGGGAGCACGTAAGACTACTGAGAAGTGGATTACAGTAGTCAAGGCGAGAGAGGATAGTGGCATGGACTAGCACCTTAGCCACATCCAGCGTTAGATATAGGCCGATGCGCGGTTTTTTTGAGGTGGAAGTGGCAGGATTTGGCGATTGATTGGACGTGAGGGGTGAAGGAGAGGTCTGAGTCAAAGAGAACACCTAGGCAGCGAGCCTGCGAGGTTGAGCTGATGGTAGCGCCGTTAGCGTGGAGGGAGACAGAAACCGAAGTAGCAACACTTGAGGAAGGAAAGACCAAAAGTTCTGTTTTGGACAGGTTAAGTTTAAGGAAGTGAGCAGCCATCCGGTTGGAAATAGCAGAGAGGCAGTCAAAAAATATGAGGGGCAGAGAGAGAGATCAGGGGAGGACAGATAGATTTGCTTGTCATCCGCATAGAAAAACCAAAGGAGCTGATGAGTTTTCCAAGGGAGGCAGTATAGATCGAGAACAGTAGGGGACCAAGGACAGAACCTTGGGGAAAACCAACAGATTGGTTGGGGAGAAGAGGCAGAGACAGAGAAAGAAACACTGAAAGAGCGCTGGGAGAAGTGGAAGGAGCACCAGGAGAGCTCTATATCTCGTAGACCGATATTACAGAGGATAAGAAGAAGCTGTTGATGGCCAACAGTGTCAAAGGCAGCAGAAAGGTCAAGGAAAATACGTATAGAATAGTGATCACGAGATTTTGCAGCAAGTAGATCATTGGATACTTTGGTCAGAGCCGCTTTCACAGAGCGCGAAAACCAGACTGAAGCGAGTCGAGCAGAAAGTTGGACTCGAAGAAGTCTGTCAATCTCTCATACACAATTCTCTCAAGATCTTGGATGCAAAAGACGAGTGATATAGGGCAGGTAGTTGCATGCAGAGCTAGGGTCAAGTTTCGTCATTTTCAGAATCGGGGTTACAGTTGCATGTTTGAAGCATGATGGATACATGCCAGAGGAGAGGCAGAGATTGAGAATTTTAGTGTGAGGCAGAGCAAGAGAAGGAGACAGAGTGCGCATGAGATACAAGAGCATAGGTGGAGGGGCGGGAGGACTGGAGAAGAGCAGAAACCTCTTCTGCTGTAGCAGGTGTAAATGAACATAGAACAGCAGAGTTACTGGGGTTGGGGGAAGTATTGGTAGGGGAAGGAGATAAATGAGAGATCTCTTGCCTGATTGTAGAAATCTCAGTGAAATTAGTTGCAAAGTTTGTGGTGGTCAAGTTGGTAGGAGGAGCAAAAGGGCAAAGAAGAGAGTTTAAAGTGTGAAATAGGCATTTGGGTTCGCAGGAGAATGTGGTTATAAAGGTATTGAAGTAATTTACTTTTGCAAAGGAAAGAGCCAGACTGTAGGAGCGCAGCATAAATTTATAGTGGAGGAAGTCAGACTCAGAGTGAGACACTCTCTCTCTCTCTCTCTATATCTATATATATATCTATATATATATATATATATATATATATATATACACACACACACACACACACACACACACATACACATACATTACTAAATAGCAGGGTTTCCCAATTCATTTTTCCCTTGGAACCCTCTGACATGGTTTAGCAAAACTTTGGAATCCCAGCAAAAAAATGTGTGCTGTAGAGTAGTGCAGCGCAAACCTTTCAATGAGCAGAGTGTAATGTTCTCTTTTGCTGGCAAATTCTTTTTATATCTGGTTTAATTGTTGACAATTGTATTCGTATGTCTCCATTTGCGTCAAGTCGATTTTGATACTTTGTTTTTGTTGCAGAGTAAAGCGAGAATCCAGTTTCACATAAGTATGTGTTGGCAAATGGCAACAGAACTTTGATTGCCCACTTGGACAATACTGGGTATTCTTCACGTAAATCACCCGAAAATTCTCAAAATCTACATCAGGAAAATTGTCTGGCTTGTCTTTTATGAATGGATTTCGAACCCACTCATTATTGCTTTCATTCAAGAATGGAAAATACTGATTAATAGATGTGATTAAATGGAGAAGATCATCTACAATTTCATCTTCAAGTTCAATTTCTGATTCTTCAAGAAAATCCTTAAGTGTTGGCAAAGCGTTCAAATTATTTTGCTCAACAGATGAGGTCCAAAACTGCAGCCTACGAGACAGTGAAAATATTTTATATTTGCATTAAAAATAGTAGGGTTTTTTCCTTGGAGTGATAAACATATGTCATTTAATTTTGTGAATATGTCTGCAAGATATTTTGGATAACCCTAGAGTTTTTGTTAATCGATCAGATAATCCAAATTTATGATCGTGGAAATATGCAAAGAACTCTTGACGCAATTCAAACATTCTAACAAGAAATTACCTTGTGATAGCCAACTGACTTCTGCATACAAAAGCAGAGCAGAGTGGTGACTACCCATATCTTCACATATAATTTTAAATAGTCTTGACTGTAATGGTCGACTTTTTAGAAAATTAATAATCTGGACCGATTTGTGAAGAACACAGTGAGAACTGTGCTGTTTTTTGCTACATTTCTTATTCGTGTCACAGCGCCTGCCACTTTCCCAACCATTGCTTTGGCACCATCACTGCACACATCTACACATTTGTCCAAATTTATACATAGAAACATAGAATGTGACGGCAGATAAGAACCATTCGGCCCATCTAGTCTGCCCAATGGGCAGGGTTTGTGTGTGTTCATGAACTTCTGGATACAGTTAAATATGTTCTCACCAGTGGTATGAGTTTTCAAAGTTTCACACAGAAGCAAGTCTTCTTCAATCTGTTTGTCAAAATTATATTTAACAAAAGCCAACAAACTTGAAAGTCCTGCAACATCTGTGGACTTGTCTAATTGCAGTGAGTACCCATCATATTGATGCAGTCTAGAAATTAGTTCAGTATGGATGTCATCAGCAAGATCATGAATACGGCGCAAAACTGTTTTGTTGGAAAGTAGAACAGCTTCAATTTTTTTTTACTCAACTTCTCACTTAAAATACATGACACTATTTCTTTTGCACATGGTTTTATTAGTGATTCCCCAATTGTGTGTGCTTCTCCTGCAAGTGCTATGCGGTAACTCACTCTGTAAGAAGCCTCTGTGGCTTTTTCATTAGCATTTAGAATTTTTTTGCTCATAAATTGTTTACTCTTCTGATACTCCTTTTGCTTAACCCCTTAAGGACCAAACTTCTGGAATTAAAGGGAATCATGACATGTCACACGTCATGTGTCGTTAAGGGGTTAAAGAAAGTCAATGTCTTTATCTTTGTACTCAACGTGGTTTTGCTCAAAATGATGTAATTTAGCAGGTGCTAATGAACTGTTTGGCAATATTTTATTGCAAAGTACGCATTGTGCTTCAGGACAATCTTCATTTCTGGCACTTGTGAATCCAAATGACAAGTAGCTATCATCATATTTTCTTTTCTTTGTTTGAGAAGAAGATTGGCTAGCATTGTCTGCTTTTCTCTTTTTTTTTTTGACTTGTCATTTGTCGCTGCTACCGTGTTTCCCCGAAAATACACCCTACCCCGAAAATAAACCCTAACTGGATTATCGGGGTGGGCTGCAATATAAGCCCTACCCCGAAAATAAGACCTAGGCAGGGCCAGCGGCTGCCGGCCCTTTAAATGCCCTTAGCCACCTGAGCGCTCAGACGACTGCCGCACTGCCTCCCCTTCCCTGTAGCGTGGCCGAGCTCCTCTCCACTGGGTGTGCACTTCCTGTCAGTCCGGCCAGGTCGCAGACCGGAGCTCGGCCTACAGGAGGAGAGGTGGAGGGGCGAGGGGGGGACAGGGGAGAGGGAGAGGAGGGGAATATTATAGGGAGGGAGGAGGGAGAGTATTACAGGGAGGGATAATATTACAGGGGGAGGGGGAGAATATTACAGGGAGGGAGGGAGAGTATTACATGGAGGGAGGAGAGTATTACAGGGAGGGAGGGGAATATTACAGGGAGGGAGGGGGAGAGTATTACAGGGGGAGGGGGAGAATATTACAGGGAGGGAGGGAGGGGAGAATATTACAGGGAGGGGGAGGTGAGGGTCTCTGGGGGGTTACACAGCGCGGACACCGGCTGACAGACTGGCTCTAAGCCCTACCCTGAAAATAAGCCCTAGTGTGTTTTTTGTGACAAATTAATATAAGACCCGGTCTTATTTTCAGAGAAACACGGTATTTGAGGAACAGTAGATACAACTATTTTGGGCATGTTTTCTGAATTTTTAGTTGTATCTTCTTTCTCAGTTTCTAAAAGTGATGAACAGGTAGACGTAGTAATACTTTTTCTCTTAAGAGTTTCCTGCTTTAACCAGCTTTCCAAATTCATAGTTGTTTATTGGTAAAAAGAAAACACATATATACAGATCTCACAACCTGACTGAAAAGGATGCTGATTTTGGTAATACTTTTAGAAAGAACTGAACTTAAGCAGGCTTTTTGAGTTGGACTTGGAGGAAAAAGATTTGAACACTTTGAAAAATACAGTTAACAGG